AGAGTGATTTTACAATGAGACATCAAACCAGAGCCCTGGCCACTTCCTATTCCATTCAGCTTCTTAGACCGTTTCTGTCACTGTGGTGCCCGGATGCAGTCCAGAAGTGCGTTAAGCACCTGTCTCGTGTGTCTCTTTTTTGTGGTCATAAAAGATCCCATAGCACTTCGGATAAGGAAGGAATATAAGCCCTGGTGTGTTCTCCAAAGATTACAGCTACTAAAATACACCCTGCAGTTTCTACTGGCTAGGATGTTCCTGGTCACTCCCTGTGCTAAACTGTTGTGGAGTGTTGCTATGCACTGTTGTATACCTGCTGTGCTCAGGGTTGTTTGTGATAGGCATCAGGTGGTGTGATCACTCGGTCCCCAACGTACACCTCTGAGAGGCTGTAAGGAGGCAGTATGGCCTAGAGGATAAAGCACTAGACTGGAGACCTGGATTTTACACTCAGCTCTTCCACGGGCTGCAGGGTGACCTTGGTCAAGTTATGGCCCTGTGCCTTAGTTTCCCCAGTTGTAAAATGGGGATAATGATATGGACTTTCTTTGTGAAGTGCTTTGAGCTCTACTGATGAAAAACACTCTATAAGAGCTAGATATTATTATACAACAGTCATAAAACCCTCTGAGATCTTGGTACGAAAAACACTGCAGAAATGCAAGCATCATGACTAATACTACGGACAGAGTGTAGATCCCTGCCTGGAATGGCAGGTCCGTGGAGACAGGGCATTGCCCTACAAAGATGGAATCCAGTGCACTGTGGGGCCAGAACAGACCTGCATTATTGACATGGTAGACCAAGGAACTGTATTTCAGAAACTGTAATTACTAAACTAAGGGATCAAACCAGTGACGTGCTGAGCATCATCAACCCCTATTGAAATCACCTCCTAAGGGATCTGTACTGCAACCCTTACTCACATGAGTGTTTCCACTGTAGCAAATGGGGCTAGTTACGTGAGTAAAGGACACAGGATTTGGCCCTTAGATTTTAAAATGTCTTGCAGCGGGAATCATGGGCCAGACTCTCTCATGTGCTCGAGCCCGTTTGTTCCAACTCTGGCAGCAAAAAGGGACCAGATGCTAACTGCACCTGGCCTGCTGAGAATTTCCCTGGCAAGTTGCTGTACAGACAATTTCAGTTGCCGTACAGACAATCTAGGCAACTCCTACGCCATCCCCACTAACTCCCAGGTGTGATGGGGATGGGACAGAGAATGCTGGGAGCAGGAGGGGGCTTGGCCAGATTGCAGATGTGCATTGCCAATTCTCAGCTAGTGTACTGAGGGGATGATGGGGTGGGGTCAGTGGACTTTAGACTGTTGTCAGCTATCATAGGTTAGAGCAGCCTAGAAGCTGCTCTAATCTACTCTAGGACTGAGGCTGGAACATGGCAGAAAATCAGGGAGATATCGGTGTAGGAAAGCATCTGGTCTCATTGCTGTGCACGGCTGCCCTTCCTTCTCTCCTGTCTCCTCCCCTTCATTCTCCTACATCGTTTTTCCCTGTAACATTTTCTCTCCCTCCATGGCCCATGACAGGAGGATTCTGGCCCTTGCTCAAAATCTGCGTATGCATCTCCTTTTATTCAGGCTTTGCACTTGGGAGGCCGGGATTGCAGGGATGTGGTCCGTATTTTGCCCTTATTTTCCTTCTTATGAAAGCCTGAAAACACTTAAGAGGAAGCAGCGATCGTGGAGCGGCTGTAAAATAAACATGAAAAGCTCCATTGTTTTCCAGGCACTAACAGACACCACAAAGCAGTGGAGGGAAGAAAAATACAACACAGCGGAGAACAAAACAACAGCAAACACAACCCAGAGGAGGGGGGAAATCTGCTGTACCAAGGCACGAATGCGTCCGCAGCCTGGCTGCTTTGTAGAATATTGTTAGCATTAATCTGAAGGCTGCATAGCTATAGCTGCAGCATGAGCATTGTGCACACAATGCAGCCCTAAGGAGGGGCTGGGGAGCCAACTCCTCCGCAGATCTGGAAGCAGGAGCCAAACACAGCAGGAGGCAAAGTGAGGAAGAACTGAGCGAATATGAGAGGTTTGGAGCATACAGAAAGAGCCCCCATTGACTTCTATGGGATTCATTTACTTGAGTGAAAGGACTTAAAGCATGAGGATTGGTTGGAAGGAACAGGTCCATAGAGAATGATAGAGTACTTCCCATTACTTATTTGCATCATGGCAACTCCAGTCATGGACCAGAACCCCACTGTGCTAGGTGCTGTATAAACACAGAACAAAGGAATAATGAAATAAACTGCCCCTGTGCCCACTAATTCAGCCCCTGCCCCGAGGACCTTACACTCGGCCCCTCCAGGAAGAGAGATTTCCTTCAATAGAGGATCACTCGTGAAATAGGTTTTGTTCGGTGGCTTTGTTTGGATGGGAAGTCAAAGGATATCCCTAGGTTTCTGCCCCTCACCTCCCTCTCTGTTTATTTACCAGTCAGAATGCGTTTCTTCCTTCTCTCATCTGCCCCTGACAAGCACATAGGTGTTTTCTATGCTGCTCAGTTTTCCAAAGGAAACAAGCTAACAGTCCATTTCTCCACCAGCTGTCACTTTTAATAAGCCTTATTTTTTTAGCCCACTAAACAGAGAGCAGCACATTCTCCCAGCTGAAGAACAGGTTGGCTGAGGTGGGTGGAAGGGAAAGGAACCAATCAAAGAAGAAAACATACTGCAAATGCCCCTGGCCACCTTCACCTGCAGGCAGGTATCTCCATGCAGGGAGTTTCAGAGCAGCGAGAACTGAAATGGGCCCATCTTTAATATGATACTGTTGATAACTGTTAATGAAAGTCCAGGTTCGATGATGCTGAATATTGCTTTACCGCACCCATGGCCCTACTGATTGCAGTAGGAATCATTGTGGAATAAGGGAGTACTCAATACGAATAAGGGTGGCAAAGTCTGGTCTGAAATACTTATTACACAAGGCTGGATGAATCAGATAGGTCTAGATTATAGCTTTACAATCTGCCCCGACTATGGGCTAGCAGGCAGCAGAGCAGGGAATAAACCCATTGACACTGCAAAGGAAGGTGTGACTGCAGCGAGGGTAGGCAAACACCCTCCTCCCCCAAGCATTAATCAAGCTGGCACAGGTAACAGTGGTAGGCTAGCTACCCAAATACAAGCCTGCTGGGGATTGTGTATATGTAGTCAGGTTGCTAACTACCACCAGGGTCCATGCCATCACGCCTTTGCTGCTATTGTTACCTGCACCAGCTAGATTGAAGCGAGCGCAGATATGCCGACCGTGAGACAATCATGGCGTCATTTGCAGTGGAGCGGTACCCGACGGTCAGGCCTACACTTGGAACTGAGGGTGTGATGCGAAGCTTGTGTAGATGTACCCACGGTAGCTCTCCTCAAGTGAGCATGCTGAAAATAGCAGTGTAAGCGGGGCCACAGGGGTGGTGGCTCAGGCTAGTCCTGGACCCAAGGGGTCCAGGCAGGTACGGACTCAGGTGGCTACCCCAGCTACATTGCTATTTGCTTCAGTCCTAACTGTGCCTGGCGGCACAGCCTGATACGCTGGTCTGTACGTTCAAGGATCTGAGTGTCAAGATCCAGGAACTAGGGACAACTGGGTGACATTCTCTGGCCTGTGCTGGTCAGGAGGTGAAACCAGCTGATCCAATGGCCCCTAAGCTCTCTGAATTCCTGAATCCGAACAGCAGCCGATTGGCTCATCATTAATAACAAGTAACAAGAGTCACAGTCAGCTGCTGACATAGCTCTGCAGGGAAGCAAAAGATTCTTCCCCTTGCCCAGATTTATGATTGAGAAGCTCACCTATGACCGAAGGGGCAGCACTCAGAAACAACTAGAGAAGCCTGTGGGTAAAAGGAAAGGCCTGACCTGTGCGCTCTCCCTGGTTCCATCAAACGGTTTGATTTGTTCACGAGGCGCTAGACAGCAGGGTCCGGCCGCTGCTGCACGAGCCAGTTTGCAAGCCTCTAGTGTGGTCACTTTGCATTGTGCCCTTGGCAGATTTCTGCCCACAAAGCCATCTGAACAGTCCATGGGAGGAGCATCTCCACTTTAGGGAGTGTTCCGGTGGCACAGAGTCGACATAGAGGCTCCTGCATCCTCCCCCTTGCTTTCAGGGTGAAAAACGTGGCCAGGCAGAGGTTGCACAGTCAGGATTTCACCCTATCGCCCAGTTTGGCCACTTTTGTGCAGCCTTTACACCCCTGCACCCCAAATTCCACCACAGGGAGTTTGGCTGGAGCCCTAGAATTGACGCCTGGCTTCCAGGAACGCTTCGCTGGTGACTTGCTGAGATGAGTCATTTAGGGCCTGACTTTCAGAGGTGCTGAGCAACCACAGCTCCCACTGAAGTCAATGAGAGGGAGATGGTGCTCAGCACCTCTGCATTGCCTCAGTTTTTCTGTCTGTGGCTCTGAGGTAGTGGGAGGATTCTGTCTATCAACCTGGCACTCATCACGGTAGCCTATGATTAATGTCTGTAAAGCACTTTTGAGGTCCTTTGATCAGGGGTTCCACTGGTGCAAATTACTACTGAAATGAAGACAGGAACATAGGAACTGCCATTCCAGAAGACACCAACGCTCTCATATACAACTTCCAACAGTGGCTGATGTCAGATGCTCCAAATGAAGGTGTAAAACCCCATAGGGCCTGATCCAGTCAATGCCTATTGAAAAGTCTTTCCAGTGACTTCTATGGGCTCTGGATCAGTCCCATAAATATACCTCATTGTGTCATACTGTACTATGGAAGGAAGTATATTCCTGACCTTGGCTGGTTATCCGCATTTGCCCTGAAGCATGACAGTTAATTGCTCTTATAATGTTTATCCTAGGTAATTTAACTTTAATTGCTAAATCATATTCTAGTATGCCTTTGGCATCAATATTCTGTCTGTCACATGGTAGATCACACATGTAATAAGAGGGAAACTCTGGAATGCATTCGTTCAACATACATATCCATACCAAACTGGAACTCACCTGGGGAGGACTCATTCAGTGGATTGAGGGCACTTGCTCTCTTGATTTTCTCCAGACAGGCCTCCTGCTCCTTTCTGATGATGCAGTCTGAGTGTGTCGCTGCGACCTGAAAGGCAGAAAGCAGAACCATTACAAATACACCAGTCTATCCTGAGCTCATGGGAAAACCAGTAAATCTTGAGATCCTCCTCTAGGGGGAAAAAACGCCCTGGAAGGTGAAATAAATACACTGTAAACTCACTGCCCAGTGCTGAAGACCTAAAGCTAAACAACAGGATTACAATGGACATTAATTATTGCAAGGAATGTCATCTGTTTTATTTTTCCTGCTATCCACTTCTAATACACTGCTTTTATAGAGTCTGAATCACAGAGGAAGGATCATCTAGTGGTTAAATCAGTAAATGGGGACTCAGAAGCCCTAGAGTCAGTTCCCAGTACTGCCATTTACTCTTGTGTAACCTCAGGCATGTCACTGAATCTACCTCTTTCTTCTAGTTTTCAGCCAGGTAAATACTTTTGTGGCTGTGAAGCCCTGTTTCCTCCTTTCCTCTCTTCTCCCATGGCTACAAGATGGTTTTACAGCCAAAATGAAATGCAATCCCAGCTAAACTGAGCTGTGTTGATCACATCTCTCCTGGTACTAGCCACTGTCTTTATATCTCAACAGAAGTCCAGGGTAGGACACACTGCAAAGGAAGAGAGAAAAGGAAGTCACCAGGGGTTTGTATATGCAGGGCAGTAATGCAGAGTACAGGAGTGTGATCTCTAAAGCACATTAACGGGTTAGACGTTAATTGGTCCTGTGAGAGGGCTTTCCCTTCACCCCCTCCCCTGGTTCCTGTCACGCAGACAGAAAGCAGAAGACCAGAAGTCTAAAGTGCAGGCAACGTGATGTTTATTGGGGTTAGTTCCAAGCAAGCATATCCATAGCTTTACACGTCGGTAGAGTCTGTTTCCCAGTGTTCCATTTCCAGTTCTGACGCCGCAGAGCTTGCCTGTGTCCCTGTTCCCCCTTCTTGGCAAGCCCAAATTTACCTGCAATGCACGCCCACAGTCCCGTGCCTTTTGTACCCCATCGGAGGGGTGAGGAGTGAGGTTGTGTTACGGTCAGGGACAGGCATTTCTTTGGTCTTTTAGTGTTTTATACCTTCCCCCCAATCCCTCTTTGCCCCTCCCGCCTGATTGCTTGACCGTGCCTGGAGATAGGGGTTGAGGCAATCTTAAAGTGTGCTTATATATGTTACATTCCTACCGTGCCCTGTAACACTTTAACTGCTCTGTCCCTTATCTCTCCCTATTGTACTCACAGACCCATCTGGCCAGGTAGAGGTAACACACACAGTGTCTTTGTTCACACATATTACTAAGGATATGAGAGTATCAAAGGTCAAACCCAGAATTCTATCCCAGGCTGACAAGCAGGCTTGTATGCTAACAGGTCCGTGTAGACCTTGCTGGTATGAACTAAAAGTTCCCTACTAGGTTTTCACATCGTGCCCACGTTACAGAGAGGTGACTTGCCAAGGTCACACGGAACACCAGGGACAAAGCTGAGCAGAGAGCCCAGGCCTGAGTCCTAGTGCAGTGCACTACCCCCTAGGACACGCTGCCTTTATACGGAACGCTGCCTTCACTTTAAGAAAATAACACCACGTTTGGGATGCACTATGAAAGAGGTGCCAGTGTTTGAATGAGTTATACGGAGATGGGCTATATCATCTAATTCTGTTTCCAGGCTGAGAATTTCCCAGGAGGTCTCTGGAAATCACAGATTAAGCCCAGCATGCATGACTTTCTCAGTTCACTGAATGACACTCATGCATAGGGATGCTATGTCCCTAGCCTCCCAAGTATGGCCAAACAGCACCGCAAAATGTACACAGTAATGGAAGCATGAGTTTCCCAGGTGTAACTTTGGTCTCTTTAAACGTGCAACAAACCTTATGAATTCTCTGAGTGTTCCATGAGCGGGTTGGGCACTTCAGGGCAGAAGGTTTGGGGAAAATCCAGGGTGGGGAGTGTGTTGGGGTCACCCTGCAAGTAGTAACCACAGTTGATGGAGACCCTGGTGGGGCTCCTGTGTTGTTGGCAGGCTGCTGGGGTCAGAACGCTGAACCAGGGCTGCAGAGCTCTGAACCAGATGCTCAGGGAACTGTTTTTGTCCACTGGCTGTTGGTGTCCAAGCTGTGAGCCACAACAGCAGAGCATTTAAGGCACCAAGGGATACAGGCAGTAACACACCCCTGCACTTCTGTGAGCTGAACCCCCAAAACGTGACACGAGGGTCACAGCATTCTCTGATTTTATCTCTTTTGACTTGAGGATATTTGCTGCTCCCAGACAGACCAGTTGCAGTTTCCCCGAAAATCCCAGTGATATCTGCAATTCTGGTACACACTGATGGATATCACAAAACCTAGAAGCCAGGAAGAGAGCATGAGAAAGACAAATGAATTTTTAGAACCAAAACCCAGAAATCCCAGAGAACCAAGTGACTGGGACTCCTCGAACTTCTAGGAAGGCAGGCATATTTTTGTTTAGTATGCAATGAACTAAAAATTAATCAAGCAAAAGGAGTAGGAGACCTGAACTTGTGATGCTGAAGAAAAAGAAATGTAGACTGATGGCTTTAAAAATAGATGCTGGCTATTTAGTCTAAAGAAATAAGATAAAAGACACATGCTGCTACTGTGGTAAAGCAGCCTAGTGGATAGTGTATTGAACCCTGATTCTAGTAATGTGGGTTCTATCCCCAGTTCTGCTGGTAGCATACTGGGCAACCTTTGACAAGTCACTTTGTCTCTAGTCCTCAGTTTCCCCATCTAATAGATAGTCATATTGACTTTCCTTCACAAAGCACTATGAGAGATATAGGCATCATTAACAAAGCACTTTAGAGACATGGAACACATTCATGTTATTTTTGAGCCTACATTTGTAAAGATACGTTATAAGTTCTGTGTACTCCTCTGTTTCTATAGTGCCTAGCACAGGAGGCCCTTCATAGGTCCCTAGACATTACAGATTAAATCATAAGCATTGCTTAGTTGCATCAAATAAGCAAATGTAAGGCTAGCTTGTGCCACAAGGACACAGCCCGTCATCCGGGGCAGTACATTGCTGAGCTGCCCCTAAGGATCCTTGTGAAGGAACTGTGGCTCAGGGCGTCACAATCCCCTCACTAAACCCCTTTGCTACAGGGAGTTGATGGTTTGTTGCTGGCTTATTTCACAAGCTAATTATGACACCTCCTCTCCTCCAGCTCTGGTTTAGCTGCATTGGCCAGTGCTCTGGGGGGAATGGTGCCATGGCTTCTGCACATCAACCTCCCCGCCCCTTGCTCTGGAGGGTGTAATAGTGAAAATGGAGTAGTAGACACCCATCATTATTTACTTCTGCACACAGGGCCCCAAGGTCTAGCCAGCCCATACACAGGTGTAAGGAGGGTGCTCCTGAGCCAGTGAGATGTCCATGGACCAATCTAGCTAAGGGATCAAATGGACACTGGTAGCATAAGATATCCTATCCCATTGGTCAGGGTGGTACACTGAAGAGCTCTAGAAATTAAAATGACCCAATGCCATATTTGTAGCCATTGATCAACACTTGTTTTAGAAAAAGTTTAATTGAAAGCAAATCACAAGTGGAAATCAAAAAAGCTCTTCATGGCGTATGAATAGATTTCAGAAGTCTCAGTGTGCCACCACTGAAGAACTGGTTCAGAGACAAAAAACAATGAGGATTTCCCCCAAAATGTAGAATTCATGGCTAGAAATGCTGGTATAAAAATAGAATATTCCCTTCAATGGATATTCTGTGGGTCAATCCTGCAAACACTTAAGAATTTTATTCACATGAGTAAACTGAATGTGACTACACAAGCAAGTAAAAGTTACTCTTGTGCTTAAGAGTTTCCAGGATCAGACCTTATATTTGTAAAACCAAAGTCCTGATGTAACAGGAATTGGTACAATACTCTTGGTACATTCATTGCAACAAAGAAATTATTTAAAAAGTTATACAATAACATTAGCTTTCTTTCTCCTTTGATCTCTGTATTTCCTATCTATAAGGACCTGAGCCAAAGTTCACTGAATCGAATGGGAGTCTTTCCACCTACTTCACGAGTATTTAGATCAGGCAAAAAGAAAAGGAGTAGTTGTGACACCTTAGAGACTAACAAATTTATTTGAGAATAAGCCTTAGATCAGGCAGTAAGAAAGAGAGAGAAAGAGAGAGACAGAGACTGTGTATATGAATATAGTTGAGCCCTTTGGAAACAAAGTTATCTACATCAACAAACTATAAAGATGAAATGGAGTCCGATTCATCTCTGGTGTAACTCTATTGTCTTCAGTGATGTTACACTAGGGATGAGTTTAATCCATTGGGTTTATTTTATCATTGACTTCATACTGAATTACATTTGTTTACTACCTCTATTCTGATTCTCATTTTTAAAAAAGCTAACTCACCAAAATGATGAATACGCATGAGGGAATTACTTACAGAAAGGAAGTTTGTTTGCAATGTTATTAGCTTTCATCCCCATTTCTAACAAGCAGCAATTGGTCCAACCAGGGCTTGGAGTCATTGATCGTTTCTCAGCCTACTTGTGGGGATGCTCAGGAATTATCTCTGATTAGATAGATTTTCTTGGCACTGATTTATGCCATTACTGCTCCCTACAACATTGGCCTGGCAACTGAATACATTGTTTACTCCATAAAGGCCGCACGTCAGTCACTTGATTGTGCTTTTAACAGTTGGCCTAAACGGAGACCAAACTCCTGTAATTTCAAAACACTTCAGACAAAAAGTTAAAGAGGAAAGTCATTAGAAAGTTATTCAAAGCGAGTCACAGGAATACAATCGATGGAATATTTTTTGACATTCTGTTTAAAACAAATTGCACCTAAAATGACAGAACCAGCTGGGAAAACAGATCATTGATCCCTTTCAATGGGTTAATGCATATGTAAGATGTGGTTACCTTCTGGAGCTGAAGGACTCCCTGGGAGATGCATGTCTATCTGCACACAAGAAAATAGCTACAGTATAATCACCCACAATTCACTTAATGGATGCCTTCTGAAGCGGTAA